TCGCGGCAATCACATTCTTGGGTAGTGGGGGCTGGGATAAACTCATTTTCTGAAATCGACTCGGAACTTGAGTTTCCATATATAGACGAACTAAAACTATTACTTGAAAATGCAAGAATTGACGTATATAAAGTTAGCAGTGCAAAGTCAGCAGTGCAAAATTTTTATGACTGGAAAAATTAGTGCTATTTAAGTGCTAATTAAATGCCAAGTTCACAAATTTTGTGCTCTTGTAGTTTCCGAGATATGGACTGCACTGCTAGCTACCCGTTAAAGATAGCAGTGCACCATCCAGGAATAATCCAGGAAAGTGGTAGGGTGATATAAATGATGAAGAAAATTAAATGCTTCCATTTCCATAAACATAATCTCTATTTTCAGCTTTTTTTCGAATATTTTCTAAAAGCAACGCTGTGCACTACTAGCTTTATGCAGTACCTACACATATTGAGTTTTCATGGAAGAAGGGATTGGTAGAGTTTTCGACATTTGAATAATTTAGTGCTAATTAAGTGCTAATTAAATGCCAAGTTCACAAATTTTGTGCTCTTGTAGTTTCCGAGATATCGCCTGCACTGCTAGCTACCCGTTAAAGATAGCAGTGCAGCATTTAATTTTTTTTTCATAATTTATATCACGCTACCACCTTCCTGGATCATTCCTGGATGGTGCACTGCTATCTTTAACGGGTATAGCAGTGCAGGCTACATCTCGGAAACTACAAGAGCACAAAATTTGGTAACTTGGCATTTAATTAGCACTTAATTAGCACTAAATTATTCCTATGTCGAAACCTCTTCCAATCCCTTCTTTCATGAAAACTCAATATGTGTACTGCATAAAGCTAGCAGTGCACAGCGTTGCTTTTATAAAATATTCGAAAAAAAGCTGAAAATAGAGATTTTGTTCATGGAAATGATAGCATTTAATTAGCATTTAATTTTCTTCATCATTTATATCACCCTACCACTTTCCTGGATTATTTCTGGATGGTGCACTGCTATCTTTAACGGGTAGCTAGCAGTGCAGGCCATATCTCGGAAACTACAAGAGCACAAAATTTGTGAACTTGGCATTTAATTAGCACTTAAATAGCACTAATTTTTCCAGTCATAAAAATTTTGCACTGCTAACTTTATATACGTCAAGAATTGATGCAATTGCCCATTCCAGAGACCTAAATATTATACTTTCTGAACAAAACAATTAATCCTCTTTAGAACGAATTTCCTTGCAAATAGATTTAGTTAAAGAAGTTCAAGAAGATCCTGAAATTCTCGAAGATTCGTAAATCAGAGACGAGTTTGATTTATTTGAAAACCTTGACATTTTAAATATCAAGGACTATAGTGATAAGACAATGGGTGGAATTAATAAAAATAAGCATTTGCTTTTTCTACTATTTTTCTCAGTAAATGCTTGGTTTTATATTAATAAAAAGAAAAAGCAAATCCTTTGCAATAAGCATTTACATAGATTAATAAAATTAGGAGTTTGCTAGTGGAAATAAGCAAATGCTTCTAAAAATATAAGTTTGTCTATTTAGTTGGTTTCAATTCTAGCTTAGAAATGTTGAATTCCACTATTACAAAACATGGTTCGATTATAACTTGCTTCAGTTCCAACTATTATTATTGCATGTTTCATATTGCATAACGTAGCAAAATTGCGTTATTTTTTCGGCACTTCTATCGACGGCACTTGACTTTTATTTATAATGACTGGGATGCTCTTTTAAAAAGTTAACAATACATAAAAGTTCACTATTTTCACCCTCATCCAAGTAAGAAGATGGAGACGACGGTGACGACATGATTAAAAATAAATTTCACATCTGAAATGTTCACCTACGAAAACAAGATAGACCTATACTGGGTGTAAAAAAAATAGTGTACCGGACTTCGAGAGGTGATACTACATATGAAAACTGAAAAAAAGTTCCTACGAACATATGTTCTAGAATGCTTTTTTGTTTTCTTAGTAACTACCCTCTACCCTCATGGAAACTACCGTTTCAGAACTGTTGCGGCTTTTTTTACTATCACCATTCGCTTTGGCATCGAAATGTATGTGAAAATACCATTAAGGAAAATAGTTTGCCACTGTTTTTAAAAATAAATAAAATCTATTATTTCCATCTAACATTTGAAGGGGAAGGGATGTAACTTTTTAAGGAAGCATTTTAGGGCATATGTTCATAGAAAGTTTTTTTTTTAATTTTCATACATAGTACTATCATCCCTCGAAGTTTGGTACACTATTTTTTTACACCCTGTATTGGACTAGAATGTTTACTTCTTTCACGATAAAATTCCAAAACAAGAATAAAAAAAGGTAATATGCATTTGCTATATTAATTTTAGCTCCAGGTTTCATACAAGCATATCCTTATGGCAAAAGTATTTGGTTATTAATATGAAAATAAGGATTTGCTTGTACTACTAGCTTTTGCTGAAAAGCAAAACCTTTTGCTTACAAGCAAATGCTTCTAAGAAGTTTTAAGCAAATCCTTATTTTTATTAATTCCACCGAATGAAAAAGACCAATAATATTTCTAGATTAAACATCACTGTTAACACAAGCGAAATGCTTATTAGAAAGTCCACTCTCTGTTGGTTATTTTTTGATAGAAAAAGAAAACTTTCATCTGATAGGCAGATTCGTTGCAGAGGTATGATAGCCTCCTATGAGAAACCAAGAGAAAAGCATAACATAAAAAAAAAACTGTTTCTACTCTACGCTCTTAATCTGGAGCTAATAGACAACTCCACTTCAGATTCTGAATTGTCTGGCATAGATAACTTCTCAGACGATGAAAAAATCAAGGAAAAAATTGTACACTCCAAAATATCTGACACAAAAGAGGTCCATTGTGACTGTGAGAAATACTATGCAGTGTATCATGAAACATGGTACAATTCGGAGAGTTTTAGAAAAGTTAGAGCCACATTCATTTAAAATAAAAAAAGCCGACCTCAACCAATTCTATCAACCAAGAGAAGACAATATTCGAATAGTTAATAAGAAGTTTATATTTTTTCGGCCAATAGATTTGGTTGGAAATGGACCATTTATGTTAGAACAATGTGACAAGTTGAGTAATGCAGGAAAATTTAGAAAATTGAAATGATTCACAAATAATAGTTATTTGTTGTTGTTGTTATATGTACCAAGGCAGTAAAGTGATACTTTATCAAACGAGTCTGAGATTATGAGTCGAACGAGCGAGCCGAGTAAAAGGGCGAGTTCGATACTTTACTGACATGGTGCATACAAAACTTTATCGCCAACCGTGTAAATTGATAACTGTAAAAATTGAAGATATTATAACTTAACACATTTTATTATAAGAGCAAACACAGAACACATCTACTTATTGTTTGTTATATTGAACGTGAATGTACAACCTGTCGTATGACATCAATTTATTCTTGAAGTCGAGGAGTTTCAATGTGTTAACAATGCATATGTCCTTTTTTAATTGAATTATCATTGGTAACAACTATAGTGTCAATTTGATTTGACTGTTGTCTAAAACTGTTTTCGTGATTTTTATTCTATTGAGTGAAATAAAGTATTTCTTTACTTTTAGAAGTCGCTATGTCAATGTAGTTTTACTGACGGTTGACGATAAAAAATATAGTATATTAGTATATTAAAGTATAATTGTAGAATGCTAAATTCGTTGACACTTGTTATATTTTTTTTGACTTTGTCTACAAGTACCTACTCCTGAAAAATCAATAATCAAAAAGTTGACATTTAGACTTTACCTACCTTTCTTGGGTTGTTGATGTTGTCATGATAACTTTAAAACACGCGCGTTTTTGAATGTTGGATTTAAACACGCTGAGGAGTACTTTAAATAAGTAAAATAGGTTATCAATGAAAAAAAATAATAGTATATTGTGTATTTACGCGGAAAAGTGACACATTCTTGACCGGCTGTGTCATATGCCGAACAAGGCACAGAAAGTGCTTTCGGCCTAAGCCGGGAAAGTGATTCCTGTACCGCTATCCATTCGATACCGTAGCAGCTATTGAAAGCATGGGAAGATAATAAAAAATACCAGAATATTGAGTTTTGTGGCCTGTCAACCGGTCAAAAATTTTGACATTCGCAGAAAAGTATTTTTTTTTTTTGAAGATTTTGTAATGATTTCTTTTCAAATAGGTTGATAAAGATTTTATAATCTATAATAGAAAATATAGACACTAAAGTAATATGTAGGTATTCCAGAAACCTGATTTATGAACGATTGAACAATACCTTGATTTAGTTATTTGAAAATTCTACTACATTATTATCAAGATTATCATTCATCAAATTTTCTGGAAATCCCTCAAGCAATCATTTTGACAGTCTCACAATCATTTTGGCAGACCCGCAATCAGCTGGAAATTTATGACAATCCTTGGAAATCACTGCGATTTTCACGGCAATCCTCAACAGTCGCAAAAATCGCAGTGACTGCCAGGAAATTATAGGATTGTCGCAATACGTGTAAATTTCTTGAAGGAGTGGTTACCCCCTCGGTTAAGTAATATAAGAGCAGTTTACTTCCTTTTATAGCAAGTCATTAAAAATGGACATTATTACAGTACCAATTTACTTTATCACCTTGACATTGAATGTAAATATTAAATAGACCTGTGGGTTATCTTAAAAAATTATTGGTTTTGGACACTTTATCAATCATTATCGAAACCCATGAATACAATGCATTGTCTCGAGTAAATAAATAAACAATTAATTTCCCACACAGAATTAACGATAATGTATGAGAATTATTTGGATTTTTGCAGTGGAAAATTGATACATTTGAATTCAATCAAATAATCAAACTATCAATTCCAGTTTAGTCTTCAGAAAGTTCAAAATTTCAACTGAGGTCAGCCTGTAATCAATTTAATCAAAAATCAAGTCTAAATTTAGCTTTAATATACAGGAAATTAAATTTATGAATCATTTTTTAAGCCCTTAAAGTACCGATACTCACCAGCTAGATTCCTGTTGTTGTAGGAGACGTTTTCTTGCTCCAAAAGGGGCTGCCTTTCGTTTTCGCCCATTCCAACTAGAAAATGGGGCCCTTTAAAGCACTTTTAACGCAAATTCTTTGTGTGGGGAGCCACACCACAACAAAATATTTATGTTTTTTATTATTTAAAACACGATTAATGACGTTTCGTTGACAATTTAAATTTACGTCGGCTGAATGCAAGAGCTTGGCAACACCGCTCGGGGGGTCATTTGTAGCGCCCTTTTTCAAATATTTAAATAAATTATACATTATTTGATCTTTGACCATTTATTTGCAATTCAAACTATAATTAAAAGCTTCCTTTGATTATTTTTTGGTCAGTTTAATCCAACAATGAAGCGCTCTTTAGCTAAATTACCAAAATGCGATTTTGTACCATTAAAATATAAAGTAACAAGTTGCGTCTTTTAGGGCCAAATTATGGACTGACTGGTAAACGTCTGGTTGTTACCTAGCAGGTAGGTACTTTCTTATATGCTCTAGATAATAGAAAGTACCTACTAGGTAACAACCAGACACTTACTCCATAATTTGGCTCTTAATTATTATATTGCTAAAATGAGATATTTTTAGGGTCCAAGTTATGAAAATCTTAAGGCCACAAGACGAGCGAATTTGAGTCCGGCTTTGACCACTTACTACGGCAAACCTTTGGCCCTTAATCAAGGCTACAAACAATGGCTATTCGATTTGGACGGCAAAAGATATTTGGACATGTTTGGCGGTATTTGTACTGTATCCGTAGGACACTCTCACCCGTAATACATTTTATCATTTGTAGTTTTAAGACTAAATATTGACGAGAATCTAATGTCAATTAGTGCCATGTTAAACATATCTCAATACTCCATCTCATTAACGGGTCAGTTTGAAATTGTGATAACTTGTTCACTGCGTAGGCAGGCTATTGTCAGGTCTATAGCTCTTTTATCTTCCTCTCTTTAGTCTCTTTCCTTTAAGCTGGATTTATAGTGTCAGTATCATAGCCCAGTACAACTAAGTTTCTAGTCATGGGGAACCGGGAACAAATTAGGTCTGTTCCAATACAGTAGGAAACCGTAAAATGTACCGTCATGATTCTGCGCAAAGCGTGAAATTTGTGCGTAGAAACCAAAATTCGTTTACTGAGTGGTTTCAAAATCATTCATGGGACGGTTTTTAACGTGTTGGAACAGACCTATTATAATAAAGCAGCGACTACCTGGAAAAGGTAGTACTAGCAGTCCTTTCTAACATACCAAAAGTCCCCGGATTTACCTTTGACCAAAAGGCCTCAAAATTGGTCCGCCATCTTGAAAATCGGTACTTTTGAACAAAATCTTGTTATATCTTAAAAACTATCACAGATACGAAAAAATATGAAGAGAGTGAAATTTAAGGGCATAGCAAATTACTTCATACATATTTATTTCCAGCCTTCTATCTGTGATGGCATTGAAGATAAAATATGTAGTCTTTATTTCTTAGAAATAGTGAAAATTTACAAGTATCAAAAAGTTGGTGATAGTGCTGCTAAACTGCTGGAAGTTTTGTAGAAATGAAGGAAGATAAACTTAACGATTTCAAAAATATAGACAGAACATAATTCTCATGGAATTAAACACTCATGATGCGACTATCAAATCAAATATTGAATTATCAAGTGATAATCGAATAGGTAATTTTTTAGGCGGAGAAAAATATGTGCTGGGATTAAAGTTATTCAAGCTAGAGGAGATGCAGATACTGTTTTAATGAATGAAGCGATCACAATGGGTAAATCCGGTTCACATGTGGTGTGTTGTTGGAGACTATACCAATCTAGTTGTCATATTAATATACTACAAGGTGCAGAATGAAAAAATATTCATGCTTCGCCCAGGCAGATCTGGAAAACCGAATCGAGTTACAGATATTTTAAAAACTCAAGGAAAAGTTAGGCATCCCGAAAGAATGTATTTTATTCGCTCACGCAATTTCCGGTACCTACTGACACAACTTTCCTGCTTGTTTAAAAAAAGGCAAAATTTCTGCTTATAAACTTTTAGAGAAAGACACCAAAATGCAGAATATTGTGTCTGTTTTTCCAGATCCAACGGCGGATAAGAACGATGTGATCAAATCTGGAGATCAGTTTCTAATGGATATCTATGGATATCACAAACTGACAAAAAATCTTGACGAACTGAGGTACTATAAATATAGAACAATTACTGCTCGACAAGCCCTTATATTAACACAAATTTTGAGAAGGCCGCTTTACCACTGACATCTGAAGCTTCAAAAAACCATCATTTAAGGGTATATCTTTCAGATCCAGCATTGGATCAGAAATTCGAAAAATGCTTTGGAATGGGGCTGGACTGGAAAAAATAATTTGTTCATTCCTTATTTAATGTCATCGAAACCGATAGCCCCCGAATTTGTGCTTAAAATGATATTCTGTTCGTGCAAGGTGGGATGTAATAAGCTCTGCAGCTGCAAAAGGTCCAATATACCATGCTCCAGTCTTTGTGCGAACTGCAATGGCATGTCATATGTGTCAAGTCGGGAATTGAGTTTGGCGAACTTGATGACGAATGTAATACCTAGTTGTCCAGTTGATAACTTGCGTTATTTTATTTCATTTGCTAATATTATTTTCTACAACGCTAATGTTATTTTCTACAAAATAAATGAAATTTCCAAAGGGTCTGGGTGAAAAAGATACAAATTTGGCGTTTTGGCCCTTTGGAAATGCCATGGATACATTTTTATTTGAAAATATTTGCGCTCCCGGTTGTATATTTTCTCTATACGTTTCAATATAGCTATTTTAAGAATTATATGCTAATTTTTCAATTTTCTCAAAGGGCTATCTCATAAACCGTAAAGGAGAAAAATATAAGAATAACTTTATTTCCTGTGTTTTTTTATGCTCTTGAACTTTGCTCTCTTCATATTTTTTGATATCGGAAGTACTTTTAGAGTTATAGCACGATTTAAACAAAAAACACCGAATTTCAAGATGGCGGACCAGTTTTGATGGCTTTTGGTCAAACAGACTTTCGGGGACTTTTTGTATGTTAATAAGTTCAACAAATACTACCCTATTTTGGTGGTCCCAACATTATTATAATTTGTTCCTGTGGTTCCACCTAAAAGTTTAGTTATACTGGGGTGTAGGGTTGCCAGCGTCAAGCATTAGGCGTGATTGTCACGATTTTTTAATGGTTGACACACATCAGGGGCCTTATTCTGTAAAGAACGAACCGTTCGATTCGGTAGAATTTCTTCGATTGTGACGTCATTGTCGGAATAGCTTCCGCGCTAGCAAACCGAAAATGACGTCACAATCGAAGAAATTCTACCGAATCGAACGGTTTGTTCTTTACAGAATAAGGCCCCAGGGGTGCGATTTTCGAAACCATTCGAGTACATTTCGTACACGAAGTTTGACTGACAGCAATGTAAATTAAATGGGGAGCAGTCAAATTTCGTGTACGAAATGTACTCGAATGGTTTCGAAAATCGCACCCCAGGCCTGAGTATGCGCATGACACGCTTTTCCATAATTTTCTTATAAACGCTTTCTAAATAAATTATTTATTAGTTTAAAATAGACTTGCCTCAGACCTTGATATACAGGGTGTTTGGTACATGGATAGGAATATTTCAATGAGTGAGAGTTGGGGTTGTTTGGAAGCTGTTTGACCATATGTACCCTAATGGAAAGTTGTTTGTTTGCCGTTTTTCGAGATATCGCCATTTTAAGATATTTTGAATCCATGTATTTCAACCTTTGAATATAAAACTACAAGAAGGAGGGTTGTCTGTCTGTCATTTCAAACAACAAAGGGACGGAAACGACCATATTGAGCCTCCAAGTATGACTCATCATTTGTTTTGGTGGTTTGCTGTGTCCTCATTCAAGTGGATGTTTAATGGATTTTAGCGGTTTTAAGTGATAATAAGCACTGGAATTAGTGCGAAAAGAGTGAGTCATAATATTGACAGTCATATTTAAATAAATATACGCCACTGCCAAACCGGAAACACTAGTCGGCCATATGCAACCTCCATTCTGTTCCCGCAGATTCGAGGTTATGCTCCTCAGTGTTGCCAGCTTGGTAAAATAATTACCAGATCTGGTAATATCGACCCCGGTTTTAGTAATGAAGATTTTAAAAATATATCTAGTAATATTTCTGGTAATTTGAAATTTCATTCCAGCAAAATTCTGGTATTTTCGCATTAACAATTAATAATCTATTTTTCTTGAATTTATGGTCGTTTGCACCGTCCATTTTGAGGGAGCTTTAACGATAATCAACGCTTAAAGTGACATTTTTACATGTTGGAATTTGACATTTGAATGTGAAATTTCAACCAATAGGAAAGAAATCCGCAAAAAATAAATCGCTATTTCGCGTCTATGGAGACTAGTCTTAAATAGTTATGCCAAAGGTTACCAATATACCTATTTAGGGTCGGTTTATTCACCTTCTGATAAACTGTCAGGTATGCAATCTGACCTACAGTGCATCTGACCCATATATAAGCGAAATATCTCAAAAACGACGAAACTTTGCATAAGGGTAAATTTGGTCAAACAGCTCCCAAATGACCTCAACTATCACTCATTGAAATATTCCTATCGATGTACCAAACACCAAACACCCTGTATACATTATTCTCATTTACGCAAATAAAATATTTTTTCTACTACCATGCGTAAAGTACTCACTTTACGCACTATTCAGAAGACGTAAAATCTCTCTTCATGCACTAGTGCGTGAAGTAGTTCACTTCCACTTCACACACTAGTGCGTAAAGTAATGTCAATGACAGATGTCGACCTGTCAAATTACTACTTTACTGGTAAATTACTTCACGCACTAGTGCGTGAAGAATTTGTCTAAATTTATTTTTTCTATTTTGGTGTCACATCGAAGTCTTTTCGACACTAAAAAGTAGTTTCGAAAAGAAGCTGTTTGTGACACTCTTTTTTTACTTATCGGAGGTTGGTAACACTGGCTGACTGATGGCCATCGAACTGTCATTCGCGTTTTTATAATAGAATTTCTATATTTGGCATGTAGTATTACCAACCTAAACATATAAAATCAGGAAATATGAAAATAAAATTTCCAAGAAAAATTTGTTTTTTTTAATTAAACAATAACAAAATAGAAAAAATAGTATAAAATATTCGTTTCATAAGACATTTTATCGTACTCGCCCTTTAGAAAACTCGCCTCCCGGCTCGTTTTCTAATATAGGGTTCGTGCGATAAAATGCCGTCTTATGAAACTTGTATTTTAATGTACTATTTTTATACATATTTGATTAGTAGTAGAAAAATTTTTGTATGCAATACGTGCGTAAAGCACCTTTTTTCACTCATGTGATTGTCGAACTCACCTTCGGCTCGTGCGTCAAAATTCACGTTCGTGAAAAAAGATTCACTTTACACACTTGTTGCATAAATAACTATTACCCCTTTGAATATAAAACAACAGGAAGGCGCATAACCTCGAATCTGCGGGACCAGAATTAGGGCGAATTCTCATGAGCGTAAGTTGACATTTCTGGCGTAATTACGTGATAATATGGTGTAATTTGATTGGTAAAATATCCAACATGGCGAATATTTTACCAATAAAACCCAACCATTTTATCACGTGAATACGCCAGAAATGTCAACTTAAGCCTAGTACTCATAACTGCGAAATTCGGATTTTTTTGACATTGCTTCGACAATTTGACGTTTGATACACGCATAAAACGTCCAATTGTCAACGCAATGTCAAAAAAATGCGAATTTCGCAGTTATGAGTACTAGGCTTTACGCTCATGAGAATTCGCCCTTAAGCTGGATTTTCATGCATCCGTTTTTCCGACGAAAGATGTCCGAAAAACATTCCATTCTGACATAATCTTATAAAAATATGTCAAAATAGAAGATTTTTCGGACATATTTCGACAGAAAACGGATGCATGAAAAGTAAGCCTTAGGGAGGATTTTCATGCATCCGTTTTTCCGACGAAATATGTCCGTTTAACATTCTATTCTGACATAATCGTATAAAAATATGTCAAAATGGAAGATTTAACGGACATATTTCGTCGGACAAACGGATGCATGAAAATCTACCCTTAGGCAATTTAATCCATCTGTCAAAAAGGAAGATTAAATATGGCGTGGCGGCCAAGCAAGCTTGTTTTGAATATGTTTTTATGTGTATTTTAAATTATTTTGCTTGTAACTTTAATTGATTTTGATTATTTAATACGATATTTGTCGACTGGGTACCTAAACTATTAAATCGGGCAGAAACTAGATATTTTTGTGTGTTTTTTGGCCCATGTGTGGCCGCTACGCCATCTTGAGTGTCACGTGGATTGAATTGCCTAATATGTGGAGGTTGCATATGGCCGACTAGTGTTTCCGGTTTGGCAGTGGCGTATATTTATTTAAATATGACTGTCAATATTATGACTCACTCTTTTTGCACTAATCTCAGTGCTTATTATCACTTAAAACCGCTAAAATCCATTAAACATCCACTTGAATGAGGACACAGCAAACCACCAAAACAAATGATGAGTCATACTTGGAGGCTCAATATGGCCGTTTCCGTCCTTTTGTTGTTTGTAGTGACAGATAGACAACCCTCCTTCCTGTAGTTTCATATTCAAAGATTTACCCCCACTGAAGGTCAAATTCCTTGTGCGTGGAATAAAACTAAATAAAACTAAAAATAAAACTAAATAAAATAAAACGTTGTCACGCTTTTCCCTCTCGTAAATCTGGCAACCATAACTGACTGGGGTATCAGACTTATCAGTAAAACTTCAGAAATGGTTCTTTTCATATCTGTTTTTAAGTTTTAAGTTACTGTTACTCTATTACTGACACTATAAATTCAGCTTTAAAGCTTTGGTACCAAGATTGGATTGGAACAGAAGCCATCTTACAGTTCATCATCCCAGACAGCACAGAAAGTCTTAAAGACGTGTTTTTTACGTCTGCATTGCGTCTGAATGTCTGAAGACCAAAAAAAAAATGTCCATAAGATATATCATAGAATTCAAGTTAAAAGTTAAAAAACGCTTTAAGAAGGTTTTTCTTGCTCTTTGTAAGAGAATGTCTGAACTGTAATGCCAATTTTCACACTTTTCCTTGTATTTTTTTAATTTTGCAGCATCTTCAGCGAAGAACTTGCTGAAGATGCTGCAAAATTTTTTCAGAAATTTGTTCCATCAACAATAAAATATTAAATAGTCCAAGATCTGACGTCAATGTAGCTTCATATTAATCATATTTCAATAATAATCATATACATATAGCTTCAGAAAAAAAAATACAATAATTAAAAATTTCGTTTTATAGAAAAATCACCGAAGCTGTTAATGAACAAATGAGTACGCTGGGACATTGCTCCAACGTTTACTACCATCCCAAAATTCACCAATATGCTGAAAAGTTAGCAGCAAAATTACCAAACAAACTAAAGGTCATCTATTTTGTGAATAGCGGCTCAGAAGCGAACGATTTAGCAGTCCTAATGGCCCGTTGCTACACTAGAAAATCGGACATAGTTTCCCTGAAAAATTGCTACCACGGCATGACTTACGAGACAATGGCTCTCACTTGTAACGGCTACTACAAATACCCCGTGCCTCAAAGTCCTGGATTTTTTAGAGTAAATTTCAATAAAAACATAAAATAGTTATTTTTGTATCAAGGGCGCGAAATGCTACTTTGGTGATCGAGATCTGATTTTTTTAACGAGGCGCAGCCGAGTTAAAACAATAGTCGAGATCACCAAAGTATTTCGCGCCCGAGTTGCAAATAATATTTTTTCTACAACTCCATTTAAATATCAATCATTCGAAGCCAAAATTGCATTTTCAATCAAAAGTAGGTGAATTTTAATTATTTTTGATTTCCTGACAGGTATGTGTCACCATGACACCCAGTGTGCGAAATAGCTAGTTCGCGCACGGCGTCATGGGAACGTTAAAAAATCAATACCTGGGAAAAAAAGTGTCACTTCGCAAACTGTCATGAGTGTGCGAACATCATCATTTTTTGACAGTTGTAGAAAAATTAATTTTTATTAAAATAATATAATTTTTAGACTATGAATCCTGACGTCTACAGAGGCATTTGGGGAGGCCAAAACTGCAGAGACGGTCCAGTACAAACTGATAGAGTTTGCAATTGCTCACAAGAATGCGAAGCTGGCATTAAATACTTGCAACAGTTTGATGAGGAATTAAAATACGAATTCCCAAAGTGTGGCATTGCGGCTTTTTTTGCTGAATCCATACAGGGAGTAGGAGGCGCAGTGCAATACCCCAAAAACTACATCAAAGGGATTTACAATAGAGTCAGCGCAACTGGAGGAGTTTTTGTTTCAGATGAAGTAATTTATTGCAGCACAATCTTATTTGGTTTGCATAAAAGTTTTTTGCACAGGTTCAAACAGGTTTTGGGCGTACAGGCGAACATTTCTGGGGGTTCCAGTCGCACGAAATCGAACCCGATATTGTTACAATGGCCAAGGGTATAGGAAATGGGTTCCCTTTGGCGGCAGTCGCAACTACTCCTGAAATTGCGGAAAGCTTAACTAAGGCGGGTCATTTTAATACTTTTGGTGGCAATCCTGTTTCTTCTACAGTGGGTTTAGCTGTTTTAGATGTAAGTTGAATCAGTGATGGAGTGGAAATTGTTACAGTTTATAATCAAAAATGTTTTCTTCAATTTCTCATTGGCCGAAATCAGATGGCAACTTTTTAACTTTTACAAAGAAAAACTATGTAAAGATTATACAGGGTTATCGTTATGTATGGAAACGGCCTAATATTTCAGAACGCACCTAAGAAAAATGTACAATATTTCCTAAATGGGGGTTTTTGGGAATGCCCGATTCAATAATAGTATTTGCAATGTTGTCAAGTTTATCGTTTCTAAGATGCTGTATGTAACTTAATTTTTTTAAATGAAAGTCGCTCTTTATTTTTATTGGAATTATTTCAGCGTCCCAATATTACTAAAACCCCTTAATGTTAAACTTCCATTGGACTTGATTTTTGAAATATGACAACACAGTTTTTTTGTTGAAATGCATGGAAACGGTCTCATATTTTAGAACAGTCTTTAGAAAAATGTACAGGGTGAGTCACTATATTTTGATACCCACCTGCAGCCGTAATTACAGGTGATAGGTAAAAAGTGTAAATACAAAAGTTGTAGCTTTTTATCTGAACCGTCAGAATTTTTAATTAGATGGAACAAATGAGCAAGACAAAGTGGAAAAATATGTCAATGTTCACTTTTTTTAAATGGAATGCACTTTATTTTCTTTCAAATTCTTAAAGTTCTCGTTTTTCTGATTCAGATTATATAATATGTTGATGTTTCTTTCAATAATTTTAGAAATATCTGGAGTTTGGTTATTCAAAGATCTATTCACGTATCACAATGTTTTGCGACAGGTTACAGGTAAATCAAGGTGAAATTTATTCAAAAAACTACTCTCTTTGAATAACTAAACTCCAGATATTTCCAAAGCTATCGAAAGAAACACTAACATATTATATAATCTGAATCAGAAAAACGAGAACTTTAAGAATTTGAAAGAAAATAAAGGGCATTCCATTTGAAAAAAGTGAACATTGACATATTTTTCCACTTTTTGTTGCTCATTTGTTCCATCTAATTAAAAATTCTGGCGGTTCGGATAAAAAGCTACAACTTTTGTATTTACACTTTTTAGCTATCACCTGTAATTACAGCTGCAGGTGGGTGTCAAAATATAGTGACTCATCCTGTACAGGGTATGTTCCTCATAATTGGTGCGGCTCCTACGACTTGAACAAAAGAAAATACAAAAAAAAGTTTAACACAAAAGTTGTAGGGTTTTATCTCTATTATGTTTTGCAAATGTCAATATGGGCAAATGACAGGTACGAACTGTCATAATGACAGCACTTGCATTTTTTTAAATAGAACACCCTGTATATTTTTGGCTGGAATGATATATTTTTTTCTTCTGATGTCAAATATACCATATATGTTGATATTTGGTTCAGCTGTTTTTGCGCTATTTCATTTCAAAATTGCATTGAGCAAGCCTCATCATTGATATTAGAAACCGGGAACAGACCTAATTTAGGGTAATGTGAATGCATTTTTAAACTTGAATAGCGTAAAAACAGCTGAACCAAATATCATCAAATATCGTATATTTGAAATCAGCAGATTTTTTTTTTATCATCCTAGCTAAAAATATACAGGGTGTTCCATTTAAAAAAATGCAGGTGCTGTCATTATGACAGTTGGCACCTGTCATTTGCCCATTTTGATATTTACGAAAGATAATAGATATAAAACCCTACAATTTTTGTATTGAAGTTTTTTATGTATTTTCTTTTGTTTAAGTTGTAGGAGCCACACTAATTATAAGGAACAGACTCTGTACAATATTTCCTATCTGGGCATACAGCCCCCCTATACATCTTGAATATGCATTATTACATTTCAACAAAAAACTATATATTCTATTTACAATCTATAGTCTCAAGGTACAGTTAAATTTATCACCTTTCCCTATCAAATAGCATTGAAAGGTGATAAATTTTACCTGTACCTTTGGACTACAGATTGTGAATAGAGAATATGTTGTCATATTTCAAAAACCAAGTCCAATGGAGGTTTGGCATTAAGGAGTTTTAGTTATGTTGGGACGCTGAATTAATTCCGGTAAAAATAAAGAGGGACTTTCATTTAAAAATAAATAAATTACATACGGCATCTTAGAAACGGTAAACTTGGCAACATTGCAAATGTCACATTGAATCGGGCATTCCCAAAAACCCCCAGTTAGGAAATATTATACATTTTTCTTAAGTGCGTTCTGAAATATTAGGCCGTTTCCATACATAACGACAACCCTGTATTTTAATATACAGCATATTTTGTTCGTCTTTCACTTTTCATAAAAACATTTGTTTGCTCGAATTTCATCAAAATCTTTTTTTCATAAGACTACTAATAGGATCTGGTGACTAAAAATAAAGAAACAGAGAGTGCTAAACCTAATGAGCAATCATCAGATGAAAACAGCTGATATTAGGTCTGTTTCTGCAGGAATCAAAAACCAGTCAGAGTGAATTTCATTGGTTGAAACTAATTTTCTGACTGTTTTCAACCAATGAAATTCGCTGTGACTGGTTTGTAATTTCTGCAGAAACAGACCTAATATTTGCTAATAAAGTTAATCTAATCTCTGCAACTATTTATTGACAATGAAACAATCACAAAAATACAAAACTACTGTTAGAGAGAATGGTATATTTGAAGAAATTTGATGATGATTGGAGAGATTTTTTGACACTTGCAGAACTTGACAATACAACACCTTTTTTATTGTTAAAAAACAGGTTACCAATGAATAGGTGAAATTATTAAAACTACCAACTACCCTTTTCCGCCTCAAAAACCCAAATTCTTTGTAGATAATCGAAGAAGAAAATCTACAAGAAAATTCCAAAACCGTGGGCACTCATTTACTAGTTGAACTAGCAAAACTACGCGAGTTGAGTCCTTTTGTAGGAGACGTGCGTGGAAAAGGCCTCATGATTGGCGTAGAACTAGTGTCAGACAAAGAAACCAAAATCCCTTTGGACTCTGGAAGATTTTTAAAACTGTGGGAAACTTGCTTGGAAAACGGTTTGATTGTAGGCAAAGGAGGGTTGCATGGAAATGTAAGAAATCACTTAATAAACAATCAAAATAATTAATTTAATTGTTTTCTAGGTTTTAAGAATAAAGCCTCCAATGTGCATTACACAAGAGGACGCTGACTTTACTGTAGATATTCTAAGAGATGCCTTAGGCAAAATTTAATTTAAGCTGGTAAGAGATCAAAATCATCGCTGACGTGCACTTCAGGCACATGCAGCTCATCAATTTTAGGCGTAGATTTCTTATCGCACAAATTCAATTCCTTAAGTTTCCACTCCCAGTTCATTTTTTGCACGGCGTGCAAGGATTCGGCCTCATGATGATGCCTCAACAGCATATTCTCTTTAATTTTTTCCCATTTGTCATCAACATCTTGCAGCCAACTAAGAAACAAACGGCCATTGTACCTGGACCTGGCGTTTCTGTCCTTCTCCTCCTGTTCAGGCGTTATGAGATTGTAAACTTCTTCGTCGCGCAAAATTGTGCAAACTGAAGAGGGTAAGGATTGATTGGCAAGAGCTCTTGCTGCTCTACCGTGCACTCTTAAAATTTCTTGCTCTACAGCCAAGACTAGTTTCTCTTTTTCTACTACGTGTTGCATTCTGAGTCTGTAGCGCTCCTTTTCTTGCTCCGCAAATAAATCTTTTAGCTGAGTTGGTAGAGTGGGAGGGTAGTTGATGTTGGGAGATGTTGGTGCACTATTGGCCAGCACATAAGTGCAACGATTCATTAAATAATCCTTAAAACCTTGAGGCGGCTTTGGTTGCACTAAAAATAAACCCTTACGACGTTTTTCAATCTACAATAAATAATTTTCATAAATAAATAATAATAAAATAATAAATAATGACCTGTTTTCTTATATTCATAAACAACTTGTAGCAATTGGTGATGGGTTGATCGTGCGGGTGGACTTCGCGGGACTCGGTGGACGATTCGGCATTGTCGGCGGACTGTTGCTGAGCCTGGTCGCGGCTCTGCTTCATTTTACGCTTGCGGGGGTGCAGTTCGACGTGCGCAGGTGCCGCTGGGGGTACCGTAGCGGTAGCTGAAGTCGTTGCGGGTGCGCTGGGTTCCGATTCGGGGTTACTTGTTACCTGAAAAATGAACTATATTTGTCTGTGTCTTCTATTTATTGATTTTAATGCGAAAGAAGAAGATAGCTAGGGTAATAAGTATTTGCGTAACAGAGTTCCAATCTTAATTATATGCATAATTCGGATTTTAGTAATTTCATAAAAATAATTGGGTTTCAAAATTTTACAATTTTGTATCATTAATTTACCAAAATTTTGGAAGGTAATTGTAATTTGTAATAATCTGTAATTTATTAATAAATCTATGGTTTCCTGTATATAATCGTTTTTGTTTAATATATTAAATAATATTTTCTGTATCTGCTTTTGAAAAAATTATAATAGCAGCACTCCTACAATAAGTGGTGGACCTTGTAGCACCATACTTCTGCAGGCTGTGCAGAGTCAACAAGGTAGGAGAACAGAGCAAATCAATGGGTTTAAATATCAACACCAAAAAAACAAAGTTTATCATTATGTCTAGAAACTCAAATATATTTGAAAACTCCACCATAACATTTAACGCAAGGCTTATAGAGAGAGTAGATAAATTTAAATATATAAGCGCCTGGCTTTCCGAAGACTGGACATCAGACAAGGAAATAAAATGTCGCATTGAACAAGCTCGACAGGTATTCTTGAGGTTCCGAAGGGCGAAGAGTGCTTACCCTGTTCCGATTTTAACCTCAACCTAAGACTCAGATACACTAAATGCTACGTTTGGTTAGTGCTTCTTTACGGTATAGAAGGTTGGACTTTGGACATTAAAAGTGGCTGCAATTAATAAATTAGAGGATTTCGAAATGTGACTGTATCACAGAATCCTTAAGATACTTTGGATGGCTAAACTAACAAACGAAGAAGTCCTAAGACGTGTCAAGACATATAATGCGAAACACGAAATACCAATTCTTGCAGCTATTGGTTGAAGGCAAGATCGAAAGCCGGAGAGGGATCGGAAGAATGTCTTGACTGCGAAATATCAGACAGTGGACAGGGCTACATGATGTGCAGTCGTTAATAGATACCGCAAGGAATAGAGTAGCAATGGAAAATGTTATCGCAAATATCCATTAGTGGATACCAATGGAAGAAGAAGATCCTAGATATGAAGCTGACATGAAACCAACACATCTGTTTAGGCAATAGTATTTGAAATTTAGTAAACTGGACTGACTGGAAAATGCGCAAACAAATTGAAATTGGAAATGAAAATGATTCCATAGGGTTGTCGAAACACACAAAATAAATTTTATCACTATTTACAAAAATTAAATTTAGAAATGTACATATTTATTTTTTCTCTTTTCTTTCTTGGGTATGTTTACGGAAGTTATATTTGGTAACAGATACTGCCAGTATTTTGGTATAGTATGTTCAATTTTCATTATTTTTTATTTTATTTTTAGTTTTTTTTTCTTTTCTCTTTCTTTTTCTATTTTTTACGTTATGTTAGTTAAAACACAGGTGTTTTGGCCGGCGGCAAATGTTGACGCAACATTATTTACAAATTTGGTTTCTTCTCATTCTTATTAAAGAATTACTTAAATGTCAATTTCGCGTGTCATTGCGTAAAACACACAAGAGTGTATTTTCTACGATCCTGCGCCGAAGCAGATAACTGTTGAAGATTAGGATTTACTGACACTAGCTAAATGGTTCTTGATATGCACGTTGCATTTTCTACCGGTTCCGTGTTTTACTCTCAAAAAGTCTATGTTTTGTGCCATTAAAAAGGGAACTTGAGTGCCTTAACGTTGGTGGTTGTGGAGAACCATTTTCCAGGGGATCCCCGTATATATGAACAGCTTATAAGAAAACCCAGGTGAGTGATAATAACTTTTATGCACGAACGGGCGTAAAAGTGCACTTTTACACCCGCATTTTAAGGCGTGAAGTAGTACTTTTACGCCCTAGGGCGCCTTTTATGCCCGCGGACCTGAAAGTTCCAAAATTTCAAAAATAACCAAAAATTCGTGATTTTTTTAAAACTTTTTTGCATTTCTATTGCTTAGTCTAAAAAATACCAACTTTATTCAACAAAACAAGCTTCAAGCTTTCAATTAATAAGAATAATGAAATAAGCAATAATAATAAAATTCTATTTTAAAATTGAAAACACAATTTTTACAGTTTTTAGCTTTTAGGACCGGCCTTTTTCCACAGAAAAACACAAAAGAACTATTGCCTCAACATTGAATGAAAGCTCCATAAGGTGGATGGCTGATTTTTTTTTGCATTTTTCATAATAATGTATATGCCAGGAGAGTTTCTTCTTCAAAGTACTGCTGCTCATTAACCTATGTTGGCCACACCAGGAAATAAAGTCCTTATATGTTTTTTCATAGGGTCTTTTGGACTCCGAAAGTAACACATCTTCCTTGGCCTCTTCAACTGCCTCGGCTAACGCCTCAGGCTGTTACACACGCTGCGGGCGTTAAAGCTGTACTTTTTGACCTAGGTGCATAAATAACTATAATCACTCGAAGGGAGAGGGCACAGTTTGATAACTGGCCTTTTATATTGCCCAATCGCCGTTTTCACAGTAGCAACTGGTACTTGGTTGTCGTCTCCAGGGTGCAGCTCAATAATTCTACCCAACGGCCATTTCAGTGGTGGAACATTATCTTTACTAATGTGAATTAAATCGTTTAATTTAACTTTAGAACCCGATTCACGCCACTTTTGCCGTTGCTGTAACGTATTGACATACTCTTTGAAATAACGTTTCCAAAAGTCGCTATGTGAACGGCTAATGAGTTGCCATCGTGATTACCTATTAACATTAATTTTGGAAATATCAACCTCTGGTACTACCGAATTCAGAGGTTCCAGAGTCAAAAAATGCCCCGGAGTAAGGGGAATGAGATCGTTCGGATCAGTACTTTGGGCGCACAACGGGCGAGAATCAAGTAAGCTCTCTATTTGGCACAATAGGGTTGAAAATTCTTCGTAAGTTAGGCGTTGATCGCCTATGACACGTAATAAGTGGGTTTTCACCATTTTTACCCCTGCCTCAGCTAACCCATTAAAATGGGGTCCTGAAGGAGGGCTGAAATGCCATCGCACAGTAAGTTTTTCGCATGCTTGCTGCGCATAATCGGAAAGTAGGTTATTAGCCTCCAACGAAATTAGTTCCGTTGTCGGTATAGCACGCAACTATATTACCTCTTCTCGCTACAAAGCGTCGAAAAGCTGCTACAAAACTGTCTGTAGATAGCTCCTGAGTAAGTTCAAGATGAATCGCTTTAGTAGTTGTACAGACGAACACACAGACATACGATTTAAAAACCTTTGCGCCACGCATTTTATAAAGTGTGATAAAGAAAGGTCCGCAAAAATCTATTGCAACGTGGGAAAATGGTTTTAGGTGTGAAATTCTGTGTGAAGGTAGATCACCCATCAATGGTGGAGAATAAAACTTAGGGCGTACCCTAAAGCAACGAAAGCAATCAGAAAGGGTTTTTTGAATAGCCTTTCTTGCAGATAAAATCCAGTACTGCTGTAACAGTAAATGATGTAATGTTTTGAGATCAGGATGGATATAAGCATTATGTGTGAATTAAATAATTAGGATTGTTAGCCTATGCGAGCTAGGCAATAATCAGAGGTGTTTTGTTGAGAAGGATAAGTCCGAATTTCTAAGTCGTCCACCTACTCTTAGAAAGCCATTTTGGTCTAGAAAAACTGCAAGTTTGGGTAACATTGAGTTGTTCGTAATTTTAGAAATAATATCGGAAAAACTATTTTGCTGAACAAATAGTATGAGGCACATTAGAGATTTATGTAACTCGTCAATAGTAGAGGGCCGGAAATTGGGTGTGTAGGATTTTTGCTATTGTGTGCGAAGCGAAAGCAGAATGGAAGGATTCTTTGAACTTTAACTAAAGAACTATATTTGTTCAGTATAGCCTCTAAAAAATGAGGTTCTGTAATTTCTGGGGTCAGGATGACTTTTCTCTCGTCCTGAATGACGTCCGTGTCATCGACAGGTGGCGTCAAAAGGTCATTTTCATACCACTGACTTCTGGGTAAAGAAAGAAATGCTGGGCCATTCCACCACGTTTCATGACTGAGTAATGCAGAGGGGAGACATCCCCCTAGAAGCACAATCAAGGAACGAAAAGGAACCTTTTCTTGAATGTAGTTGACCCTGTTCGCTACGAAAGTCTCCCAACGACAAGCAGGGGAAGCGAGCCATGCTAATACAACCTGTGAATCACACAAGGCAAAAATCTCATCAAACGTAATCTGCTCCGCGTAAGTATCCTTCACCACCTGTATCAGATCAGAAAGAAGTTTGGCACCAACAAGTTCAAGTCGCGGAATGGTTAAAGTTTTTAACGGTGCTACTCGACTTTTGGCACATATGAGAAAAACGGAAATTTTTTCCAAGGACTCTAATCGGATATAAACTACGGCTCCCATAGCCTACATTGAACCCATCGCAGAAACCGTGCATTTCGCACCTTCGAAAATTATCTGAAAGGATTCTACGAGGAAGCGTAAGTTTTGAAAGTTCTGGTATTTCAGCAACAGTTTGAAGCCAATTATTAACAATATTTTGTGAGGGAGGTTCATCCCAATCGACATTCGATTTCCACAGGCTCGTCCTTGTCAAATGACAGCGGCATTTGTCTATCAGAATTTGGTACTGCAGAGCAAGCAGGGCCTATTTTTAATTCAGTTGGGCCCCAAGGCCCAAGCGAAACTTCGGGCCCCCAATATCCTATGATGACAATAGGTAAAGTGGCGGCTCCTCGTGAGTTGCGGACATTGGACATTAAATCGAAAATCAGTTGTACAATCTAAAGCGGGCCTCACTTAACCAGAATGTTTTTCTGAATCCAGAAACAGAATCCAGGATCTGAATTCTGGCACATTGCTCCACAGATACCTTAAAAAAACTCCTCATCCAGTATTCTTCCTTAGGCATCTTCTGAACAGTGTTGGTTGGAAGGAAAGAATCAGAATCTGAATTCCGGCTATGTGAGCTTGTATATATGAAACATATGGAAAAACATGCCTATAAATTATAATTTTAATTTTTCAGATGAATTCAAAACGCTCGTCAGAGTCACTCTGGCAGATCGACATGAAAAATTCATAATCTGAAAAAATCAGAATGTGTGTGCTGTATAATTATAAAAATATATACAATTTTGTACGTTATGAATTCAGATTCTGAATTCAAGAACAGAATTTAGGATCTAAATTCCTGCACCTCGTAGCACACATATCTTTTGTGTGAGCTTATATATTTGAAACATATGGAAAAACATG